TTGTTTTTGCGATCAACAGGAAATCTAATGTTGATTCTGTTGCTTTCTGTCAGATCATTTGTTCTCTTTCAGTTTTGCTTCTGGGATATCCCCATAGTGCTTTTCACAGAAATCGAGTAAAGAAATTGGATTAATTGTTGATTTTTCAAGAGCAGAAGAAAGAGAAGTTGATTTCAGATATTCACATCTTTGGAAAAGTCTCACTGGCATAGGAATTTTAGGCTAAAGAATGGAATTATACATTTTAGTTTGACATTCCTTGTGTTTATTTAAAAAGGCTATGGAAGACAGAGAGGGTAAAGGTTAAAATAATATTAACTGAGCCCTCCAAATCTATCAGTTTCATTCTCCTTTTCCTGAGTATTACTGCAGTCAAAGTAGTTAATCAGAATCAGAAAGCCACATTAGCGTTGCTGACATGTATTTGTCAATAGCGAATTGGGAGACTGAAAACCAGAGGGGGAAAAAAGCCCCACAAGAACCCAACTTTTGGCTCAGACCACATTCCCAAAGATATTTGCATTAATATCTGTAAGAAATTGTGCTAACATGAAATCTTTCCAAAACCTGAATTCTGTTATGAGCTTAACAGTAAAATAGTTTCCTAAGACTGCTTATACTGAAAAATTCAAGGAATTTATAGTTTTGTTTTAACATTCTCTTGAAGGCATTTGGATAATTACACACTCAGATGATGGTGTGTCAAAAAGGGCCTTTGTTAACCTCTCTGTTGTGCCACGTACAATCAAGGCAATGCTGGGGATGTTTTAGCAGTGTCATGCCCTGGCATCCCACAGGCCTTGGTTCCTTTTATGCTCCTTACACCAGGCTGGGGAGGGCGACCTGACAGTGCAAAGGGTTAAATAAAAATAACATTGCTGCAAACTGACTTAATGAGACATAGCACGAATACTGCTATTTCTGTTATCTGACGTGTGCTGTGCTCTGGAAATGTGGTGATAGCAGAGCTGAGTAAGGTCCTAAGCAGAGAGAAAGTAAAAAAGCAAAAAGATTGGCTGCAGCAACTCATCCAGCTGCTGCTGGTACAGAAACATGCCTTGTCTGGACAAGTTTTACTGACCCCAGTCTCTGGCTTCTGTCTCTTGCCTGGGGATGTTTTTGTGGTGTAGCTGTTCCTCCTCTTTCCCCTACTAGTGCATTTTTGGTGTCAGTCTCCTTTCTCCTCCCCAGCACTTGAAAGATTTCTGAGGAGACTGTCAGTTGTTTCGCTTTGCTGCAGAGGGAAGGAGGTGAAGGAAGGCAGGGAAAGGGAGAGAGGGCAGGATGGGAAAAATTGTGAATGCTGCACCTTGAGCAGATATTTCTGGACTCTGTGTGCTAAAATAAATGCTTTCTGCCAGCCTGCAAATACCGATGTACCTGACATTTGCCAAGAGTCCCCCAAACCCGTGTGAAAGGTGCACTGATACTCTATAATTCTGTTGTTCTAATAGCCATGATTCTTCCTAAAAGAGCATTGTTTTTGTTTAAAATAAACTCCTTGTCACTGCCAGGGCAGCTCTTCTCTGTGTATAATCCATGGCTTTTCTTTTATTAATGCCATGTTGTATCACAGTCTGAAACCAAAATTGGCCACGGCTGTTGTTTCTTATTATTTCAACTGAGAGATGTCTCAAACAGTGTATTTGGATAGTGAAAAGTAAATCAGCAGGTCAGTTTTATTTCTAAAGCAAAGACATTATTTAACCCCCCCTCTCCCAATTTAATCCTGTATTTCTCTTCTCCAAAACCATACAGGACGTGAATGGGAAGTCAGTTGCTCACAAATCCATTGCTGTGCAGGCTTTTACATAAACAAAGTCCTAAGGATAAGCAAATGCCTTCCTTCTAATTAGCAGCATGTTTTGTGGTTCCATACATTCCAGTATGTAATAGGCAGCTCCAGTGCCTAAAATAATCCCAGAGAAAACACTCGTATGCCGTGAAGATAGGGGTGGGAGGGAGAGGAGGCAGGAAAATGTGTTGTCTGTGTTCTTGGAAGCCTTTTTTATCTCCGTTTGGATACTGTCAGCTTCTTTTACACAAACATTACAGCATCCAAGGGGAATTAGAAATACTTACCCATGACCACAACATCAGATTTTAGGTTTGTCAGGAGAAAGCAATGCAGAAGTAGGATCTTGGCCCCACTGCTTTCATTTTGGTTTTAGCGTGCTGATAAATGCCTCCTAATGCTGGAAAGAGGTAAGGCCGACTGTCTAGGTGGAATACAGGAAATTTAAAAGTCTTACCTCATAGATTTGAAATGGGTTTTGGATCTGTAAAAGTGCTGTCTAAGTCCTAAGTAACAGTTATTGTCTGTAGTGATGTCTTTAAAGTTACACAGCAGCATCCCTTTTATGCCACTGTGTTATGAAGTGGTTAGGGACCACTTGGGACAGAGAGACAAAACTGAGATCCTTCTGATCAAATGGCTTTTAACTGAGATAATAGTGGTCAAATTGAGCCTTTTAACCTCAACAAGGTGTTTTTTTTTTTTTTGTCAATTGTCTTGTCCCAACATCAGTGGAAATAGGGAAGGCGATGCTTTCATCCCAGCCTTTTGCACTGATCTGTGCCATACCCACTGCTTGGCACCACACTAACCTGTGCAGGGCTAAACAAGCTGGAAGCCCATCAGCTCAGGAGCCTAAAGGCCAGACAGCTATAGGGCAGGAACAACAGCTGGTCGTGGGTTTTTTTACCCATTGCTAAGTGGAATGTAATCCATGTTACCAAAGCCCATCAGCTAAAGTCGTGATTTTGGGAAATGAAAACAAATGAGCTGTCTCACACAGCTGCATAATCTCCTTGAGGTGCAGATCTGCTGGCTGGACACAAAGCACTACAGTTGTTTTGCCATGCAAAAGTACATCCTGGTTCCTAACACTTGCACCTTGGCCCAGGATGTGGGTGAGAAAGAGTCGGGAGAGAGTCACTGCTTGCAAACTGATGAACAAAAAATCAGTTGCCAGTATTTAATGGTGAAGATAATTAACTATTGCAACAATTTACCTAGGGGGTTTGCCAAAATATTTACCACGAAAATATTTGCCCGAAACAGAATTTTCTTTTCCATGGCTTGAACAAAATTTGGGTTTGGAAAGAGTGAGACTTTTCCCTTGCCAGATGAGGCTGTACACATGTAAAATGTTGGTGTGTCTTTACCTCTGGTTTGGTTATAGTCAAAGATGTCGCTAAAAATGGAAATCTAAAAGTCTTGTTTAAGCATTAATCTCTTACAATGGGTGTAACAGCCCCACATAGATGTAGTTACAAAGTATAATGTTTTCATGATCTTGAATAGATTGTAAATTGACGACTTCTAACAATACAGAAGACCCTGCATTTGTGTCTTAAGGTGCCATAAAGTGGAATAGAGCTGAATTTTTAACCTTTCTTTTCCTACTTTTTTTTTATTTAAATGTGTGGCAGCCTGCTTTTAATGTTGCAGCACTAGTTTGTGGCACAGAAATAAGTGTGCTGACCATGAAAGTTGGAGTGACCCAGGGCTTGCTGGAGAGCTTTCTTCACCACGTTTCACCTCCAGGACAGTCACCACAATGGTGCTGGCAGAGGCCTCTCCAGGCCCCCAGGCAGTGCAGAAGAAGGCTAAAACTTGTCTGCTCTCATCACACACGTAGAACCATTTCAATGGAAAACCTGAGTTGCTGATATTTCCACAGAGATCAGCTCAGATCCATGACAGCACTTCTCAAGGACTTGCGTCTTCAATTTTCTTAGCTATTTTCTGCAACTCTCTAAGCAAAAATATCTCTGCTCCAAATTCAGAAAGGTCACTGTCCTCAACCACAAATTTAATTAACAGCGTTCCCCTTCTACTGACCTTTTTTTCCCCTGTCTTTAGTTAATTTTAACCCAGTGTCCCACACTGGGAGCCTGTAGTTTCCACTTGAGGGAGTAGATGCTCACATGAGTGGCCCCAGGGAAGCTCAGCTCAGTAAGTGATCACCAGTGGGAGCCAGGGTTGTACACGGCATTACACCGTGGAAAGCTTCCCATCTCCCGTTGCAGACAAAATGTCTACAAAAACAATACTACTACTCTGCTAAATTCCTGCATTTTGCAGATGGGAAGCTCGATTTCTACAGGGAAAGCCAGGCTGTTTTGGGAGACCTCATAGTGCTCTGTCTTTTTGCTGCTGCTGCTAATTTTTGTGAGCACCATAGAATACAGTAGAAAATTGAAACTGTGTGAAAGATCAACAAATCAGTGTAGAATGTCACGCAGCAACATCTGTTAACTTTGGCTCTATCTCATATCCTCCTGACCCCTCCTTTCCAGCCACAAGTCTCCTGTTTTGTGAGAGCTTGGAGTGATAGGGACTTGGAGGGGGGAGGTGGGGGGTGGAAATCTCACTATTTCTCAGTGGTCTGAAGGGCTTGCAAAAGTACCATCTGGAGTGAAAGTTTAGTGTTTGTGTGTTTCTATATTTTTAGTAATGAAACAAATGGGAATTTGCTGAATGAATTAATTGTATTGCTCTGTAGAAGTCTGTCCTGAGAGCCATTATATATGGGAGCTTGCAAAGCCTGCCGAGAGAAAGGGAAGCAGCTTCCCTTTCTAATGAGGGCTTCCAGGAAATCATTGATTACACAATTAAGTGGCTTTCTCAGAGACATTTGTTTGATAGTACTTCTGATATACAAAATTTTAACCTAATAATAATTTTACTAGTGACACTGGAAGCAGCTGTGCTCTCTAATGGTAAACTCACCTTCAATAAAACTTGCCCCCTTCCTCCTACCTTGTCCAAACAGCTATAGCTAATGAAACATCACTTCCAGTCTGTAGCTCCCAGTAAAAAATTTAAATCTTGAAGAAATAAGCAATGTAGTGGACAGTGTGTTCTTAATGGGATGGTCTTTATCTGGACCAGGTTAGAGTTATCAACTTGTTCTTGCATTGCATTTAAATAAAGTCAAAACAAAACCTTGATCTGGTGTATAGAGATCTCCTTTTTTTTTCCCTTTTAACAGGGTCAGCATATTTCACTTGCTCCCATTCAAAAGCTAGAGGAGACTTTGTATGAGTATCAGCCTCTGCAAGTGGAGACATATGGACCACAAGTTCCAGAGCTTGAAATGCTGGGAAGGCTGGGGTAAGTAACACATTTTAATTCCCATTTCATGGCATTATAGCTGGGACTGTTACCATCTTCAGATTGCCAGGGATTCTTTTCTTCTTTTCTTTTTTTTTTTTTTTTAGGCATCTTAATGAAATATTAGACTTCCTGCCCAACCAACATTTTGTTTGGGTGGATAAGCTGAAATTTTTGGTCCTCTAGCCTTTATAGATCTATTGAGAGCTGGACTGGATTGCATTAGTGTTTTTAAGGTTGTCCTTGGCAGTCGTCGTGAAGTAGCTGTTCATTTTCAGTTGCACGGTATTAAAAAATAAATAAATAAAAATCTGGGGCTTAATTTACCCAGCTGTAAGCCAGTAAAAATATTAAAGTTGGGCTGTTTGCCATGGAAAAGGGTAGATTTACTTGTCGGCTGCTGTCTACAGTCAAACTGCGTTTGTGAGAAATGAAGCACAGAGCTTAACTTATGTCAAAAAATATAATGCAGGGCTGGTCCAGCAGCAGCCTGGAGGCATCATGGTGTGCAGCCATGTTTGGAAGAGAGTTTGGAAGCCTGCTGTGCCCGGGTAATGGAGGATAGGAAGTCCAAAAGTGTGCTCTCTAGAGATGTGTTTGTAGCTGATATGCTACTGGGATACGGTCACCCAACTCGTCATGGCCTAACTTTCGAGGTCAGCAGCACTTTCAGTGCTTGGAAAACTACATGGCAGAATGAATGTGCAGACTGGCGAGGCAAGAAAGAGTTTAAAAGATAACAGTTTACATTTGACTGTGCAATATGGGAAAACTGAAGCCACAAACTACTGAGCAAAGTTGAGACAATTTAGTGTGCAGTTTTGGAGACCACTGAAATCAAAACAGGAATCCCATCTAGTTCACTGGCACGGGAGAAATTGTATCTCATCCAGAAAATGACAGAGGTAGATAGACTTTTCTAAGTAAATAAGCAACCTAATGGTGCTTTAGAAAACTTGAGGCTGTCTGGAATTGAGGTTGTCTCCATTTTTACTGTTTTTATGTCCTCCTGATGGCTGTAATTTTTTATTATCTGATACCAAGCTTCTGAGACCAAATATTAATTAGCAGTTTAAACTTGGGCAGAGCCTGGTTCAGCCTTCACCACCTGTTTGGATGGAGCACAGCTGTGAGGGACCTCCAGCGCGAGGGGAGCTTTGAGGCTCTCCCAGCCCTCAGCCCCATCAGAAACGAAAAAAGATGACTTGTGCAGGGAGGATTCCCACTCCCTGTCCCTTTGCCTGTGTAAGGTGAGTGCTGGTGTCCAAATCCACCAGGAGCCCTGTGTGATCTGTGCACATCCCATTTAACTGCCTGTGACAGTGGTTCAGAGGCAGCACAACAGCTCGCAAAACAGAATCCTGCAAATCCCGCAGTCGCATCGCTGTGTCCGTGCGCGAGTGTATCCGGAGTAGAGTTTGCAAACAATGCCGCAGTCTTTTCTTGGGAACGCTTTGGAATGTGTCGTTCTACTCCTGCGAGCGTGAACAGCCAGGGTTGCTGGGCTTGGCTCTGGAGGGGATGAAGGAGTTAAGGGCACAGCGGTGCGGGGTGGCTGCGGCAGCAAGGGGCGGCTCGTGGGTGGGTTGGCTGGTGGTGCCCACCAGAAGAGCTCTTCTGAGTCCTGAGGCTGTTTGCCATTCCAAAACAAATACATCGAAGCTGTGGGTTCCCAGCCGGTACAGCTCCAACCCTATTCCATGGGGTGTCTGAAATACCTTAAACTGTGCAAGGCTGTTGGTTTATATATTTGTGTTTCTGTGTTTATATGAACTCATGCGCATTTCCTGTTGATGATGAATGCTTAACTAATGTGCCTCTGTCCCTGCTTTGGGGGTTTTCAGGCAGCTGCATACAGCTGCCTGGGTGAGGCAGAAGAGCTGGGCACGATGATATCCACTCCTGCTAAAGATTTTTAGTTTCCTGTTCATTTACACTCATAAAAGGCCAGACAGGGCTTTGAGGCACCTGGCTTAGTGGGTGGCATCCCTACCCATGGCAGGGGGTTGGAACTAGATGGTCTTTAAGGTCCCTTCCAACCCAAACCATTCTGTGATTCTAAATGTATTTAATTTTAAGGTTGTTTTTTTTTTGTTGTTTCTCCTTCTTTTCATTTTCCATGTAATAATTTTGCAGTCTGGCTATTTATTGCTGTGAAATGGTTCTCTCAAATGTGCAGGCTGTTGTCTGAGTTTCTGGAGCCAGAATTATTGCAAAGACACTGCCAGCCTGGAGACTTTGAATTCTCTTCTGGTAGCACAATTTATTGACTTCTTTCTTTGTTAAGGTACAATTTATTCTCTTCAAAACACTCAGTAGAATGGACTTTTTGAATATTCACATCTTAACCTCTTGCCTTTTGCAAGACTAGCTTTAACTTTTCAGTATCAGTGTTGAGTTTATTTCTTAGTAAACTGCTGTAATGTAGGACAGCTGGCAAGAAGGTCTAGCAAAGAGCAAGAAAAAGGGTTAATCCTTAAGGGATCATTTAGAACATTTGTTTAGGGATCTTTCATTATTTTTAAAAAATTGCTTTTTAAGATGACTCTTATTATTTGCTTATTAGACTTTACAAGGAACTTTGTGAGCAGACCAATAAACTTGATTCTGCATCCTCCCACTGCTCTTCTGCATGGACTTTGCATATTTTGCAAAAAAGGAAATTTATGTTCAGATAGTTTTTAGGAATTTGTTTTTGGCTTCCCCTGGGCATATAAATTTTCTTTTATTTTGCTAAGTACTGCAGAAAAGTGTTAACATACTTGTGATGCATTTATTGTTAGTGTTTTGGAAGTCTGAGAATATGAAGGAATAGATGTTTGGTTGGTTTTTTTTTCCCCCAGCACAAATGATTGGTTTAATGTGTAGGGGTTTGCATCCTTCAGCCCCCTGGTAAAGGTCACTTTGGTTGTTCAGACTGTGAGGACCAGCTCACGCCTTTCTCAGCTGTCAAAAGGAAACGTGACTTGGAGAAGGGGAGAAGACACGTGTGAGAGCATCTCCCAAATCTGTGGTGCTGCCCTTGGAGAAAAGTGTGGTCTTGGATCACTGTAACATTCCCATTGTGGGTGCAGGCCCTGCAGCTGCCTGTCCCTGCAGAGCTCTAATATCCCTGGGTCTGTGTGACTTGGTCACTGCTCTGAGTTACTGAAGTGTTTAGAGACGTGTGTTGGGGAACAGTTGCTTCCTGTGTGGAGTTGAAGGCAACCTGCTGATGGGAGTCATGTTTTCAGAGCCTTGTCTTTCAAACTGGTCCAAATGTGCTGAATTTGCTGAATTGCCAAAGTCATTGCAAGGCTGTGTGACCTGCCATGACTTTCAGGGTGTGGAGATGGATGACTGGGAGAGAGAACATGAGGAGCACCTGAATGCTCAGGCACTCGCTGCCCTTACTTTGAGTTTTTTTTAGAGGGGCAAAAAAAGGCCTGTCTCCTTTTCTTTCTTTCTAATGGTTTAGCTGAGTAGGCTGAATTTGTGTGGTTGGAGGTCTGCGTTTTTCTTACTGCAAAACAAAAGAAATGAAAAATATAACAAACTGACATGCCAAGTAGCGAAAGAATAACCCGGGATGGAAATCGGTGTGTTATTTTAAAAATGTATGTTTGATATGTAGTTTTGATTTTAAAGAAGAAAAACCAAAATAAAACAAAAAAACCCCCCTGAGCATCAAAATGATGTTTGTTTGAGGTCTTGAAAAATGTAAAGACATTCCTGGCAGTAATTGTAAGTATGTATGTCAAGCAGGAGCGGCCACACAGCGTTCCCACACCAGCTATTTACAGCTGTGAAGAGCTGTACACAAGCTACTTAAAAACTGACTGTAAATCAAAAATCTGCTTATGTGATTAACATTTTGGGTAAAGATACATGAACTTCATGTCTCGAAGTTTAGAAACAGTCTCTTGTAATCCAGAGTGGATCATACTCATAACGCAGTACCAGTTCTATCCTCACCATTCTCATAAAAGAGAGGTAATTTACAAGTAAGATTTAAAATTTCTGTTTGCATTGTGCTTGAATTCTTTATGTTAAGGCTGAACTTCTGTGCAGACCTTGTAATCAAGTCAAGCCTAGGCTGCTTAAAATTGTATTTGCCTACTTAACTTTGGAGATATAACCTGAAAATATACATGTGTATATAAAAATCAGGTTTGCTCCAAAAATATCTTCTTTTCTCTAGGGAAAAATGTGAATTTCCATTGATCTACTGACTTGTTTTCATGTATAACCACGTTGTTGGGAGCACTGCAGTTTGTTTAAGTAAGATGAAGAAAATGAAGTTCAGGAGTGACCACTAATGTAATGAGGATAGGTAATATACTTTGATAAATTAAAAGTTAAGTCTAAGCAAAATGTCATTTTAAGAGATAAGGGTAAGTACTGAAGCAGAGTGGGAGTGCTGTGAAAATCTGTACAAACAATGAGCATGTTTTAACCCACTGTTCTTTTCATTTTGAACAACTGGATTGATTCATTCCTCTTTTCCTTGTGTAGGACAGCTCAGTCATTTTAAATTTTGCATTAAGGTAAGGTTGGATTTCATATCTGCTAGAGCTTTGTTAGTGTTTAATTTTTAACCTTCACTTCAAGTGGAAAATTTCTGCATATTTCTTTGTTGTACAGTGTTGTAGTGTAATTTAAAACACATGTAGAGTTCTGGCACTTAATGTAGAAATGACTCGTGTAACTTCTTTGCTGTCAATCATTGTGGTTTTTTTTTTTTTTTTTGAAGTGAGGCAATAGTAAGGATGCTCTCCAAACTATTCTTAAACCATAGCTGAGCTGGTCTTTGGCTGGATTAGTTTTTGCTAAAACCCTGTCAGTGTCTGTGTAGGGTTCAAGGCAGTGAAATAACTGAGAATTGATTTTGAATGGGTGACAGGAGTGCTGGGCTTTAAAAGTCATAGCAGGTGATTTTTCACATCTGCTCTGTCACTGGGGTATGCAGATATTTTTTGAGTCTTGGAAAAGGAGAAAAGCCGCAAATGAAGGGCTGATTT